TGCACAGGAACTGAGTTCCGGCTGGCTCCCAAGTTGACCACGCCCAGCAGGAACTCATTAGCATAACAGGCCACACCCAACAGCAGAAACTCAATAGGATTGGCTACATTAGGGGTGTGTGGCCTAACATGCAAAGGAGTCCCTGCTACAAAAAAAGGCCCTGGGTTTTGACAAAGTAAACAAAATAAGAAGCAAGAGGTGGGTGTGGCTGGATGACCACACTTCTGGCGACGTGGGGGGGCGGCCTCTGGCGACGTGGGGGTGCGGCCTAATGTGGTAATGAGCTGTGCTGTCAGGGGTGTGGACTAATATGCTAATGAGTTCCTGCTGTTGGGTGTGGCCTATTATGCTAATGAGCCCCCGCTGGGCTTTTTCTACAAAAAGAGCCCTGCGAGAAAACATGATGCCTCAAAGTGTGGCTGAAGGAGAAAGGTCTTTCAAGGGTTCGTTTCACCACCATTTTATAACAGGAAGAAAAATGCTAAAATAACGATCTGTACCGGAGACTGTAGTGCAGGGTATGAGGCTGAGTTCACAGGGTAAGGATTATTCATGACCATCTGCGGATCCTCCAGGCTGTGCTTGTTTCATCCTGCGGTACATGAAAATGAAAAAAAAAAGAGTGACTTGTGTATTATCTTAAGGACTCTTGGGGAGAAATTACTTAACCGTTTACTTCCTGTTATAAGATGCTCTGGGCTATTTCACAGCCGCTGAACCCGTCCATATAATTTTTACAGAAGGGGTGTGATATTAGAACGTTGCTGTTTGGAAATTATCTGCGACCAGATAAATATACAAAATACACGAGGCCGGATACATATTTAAAAACGTACAAGGTGAAGGTAAAGGTTCCCTTGCTCGAAAGCCAGTCGAGTCCGACTCTAGGGTTGCGGTGCTCATCTCCGTTTCAAAGCCGAAGAGCCAGCGCTGTCCGAAGACGTTTCCGTGGTCATGTGGCCGGCATGACTAAACACCGAGGCGCACGGAACGCTGTTACCTTCCCACCGAAGTGGTCCCTATTTATCTACGTGCAATTTCTTGCTTTCGAACTGCTAGGTTGGCAGGAGCTGGAACTAGAGACGGGAGCTCACTCCATCATGCGGCACTCGGGTCTCGAACTGCTGAACTACCAACCTTCGACAGCCTGCAGTTCAGCGTCTTAACCATGTCAAATTGTAAAGTTTGACTATGAAATCTGAGCTTTGCCATTACATTTCTCAAGTGTCATTTCAACCCTATAGAAGTGCTTATTGGATTTTTATAACACCAAACTCAGCTGCCTGAAACAATGCGAGAACAGTTTTCCCAATTTGTTCTCAGTCCCAAGACTATCCCAATGAATCATACAAAGCCGCCCCCACCTTGCCGCCCCACCTTTTTTCGCTCCTTCCGGTACTATTCTGTACACTTTATACGGATCAGAGATATCCAGCTGGCTTCTTTCAACCAGTTCTTCAAAGTCATTGCTCTTGTTTAACGCACAGCGCAGTCTCGTCTTCCAAGTTGGCGGATCCGGCTTTTCGATGCCCTCTCTGAACTTTCCTTTAAACAGAGCCCAAGCCTGGAAATATCACCAACAATCAGCATACAACAACAAAGTTTTTGGTACGTATCTACAAGCACGAACAGAAATGTTGCAATTAAAATTACATTCTTATTACATAACCCAATCGCTCATTTTTGCTGCAGTAAGCAATGGAGGTATTTATTTATTTGTTTGTTTCAATTTATATCCTGCCTTGCCGGGAGAATACGGTTTTTCCTGGCAACATCTCATTGGTAAATCTGCTTAATTACCAGCAGAGGAAGATCCCATGTTGGGGGTCTGGCACTGAAAATGCCTCTAAAAGGACTAGATGCAGTTCAAAAGCCACGTTAGACACTTCAGTTCTATAAGAAATACATCATCAGAAAGAATAGCAAAATGTTATACAAATTGTTCCAATATTTGCTGGAAGTGTAAGGCAAATGTAGGAACATTTTATCATATGTGGTGGCGGTGCATAAAAATACAGAAATATTGGAAAGTTATTCAGAATTTAGTATATGAAATAGTGAAGGTGAAACTTGACTTGATTCCAGATAATTTAAATTATAATGAAAAATATTTAGTACTGTATATAATTACAACCGCAAGGATATTATGGGCGAAATATTGGAAGGAAAAAAATAACCCAAAATGGGACGAAGTAGTAGTGAAACTGATGGGAATTGCGGAAATGGATAAACTGAGCCTAATATTACAGGTGAGCCTAATATTACAGGGGAAAGACGATGAAATATTTGCGAAAAGGTGGTCGGGAATGTACAATTGGCTAGAAAAGTAGATGTGAGACTCTAAAATGTATAGATACAAATGAATTAATATGTTTGAAAAACAATAAATAAATATTTTTTAAAAAAAAGAAATACATAATCAGATAGCACATTGTTTTCAAAAACAGCCTGCTCTTTGATACAGAGCAATACTGGAGTAGGATTTCCATGTAATAATCCACAGAACCCTCCTGTTTCAGCGTTGCTATTGTGAAGGGGGGAAAAAGATGCAACTGCAGCTTCTCCCCTTCTGCTTCGAGAGCCCTGCTTGCAGTGGGTAGAAACTGTAAACAGAAAGTGGCGGAGGGGATGGAAAAGCCACTGCATCTTCTGTATTTCATATCACACTGTGCACGTGAGTTTATGGAAATAACAACTAAGCCTTCTCAGAGTGCAGTGTTGTCACTGGAATCTCCAGGTCCTATGATGTTACAACTATTTTCAAGTCTAGAGAGAGCTTTCAACGAATGGGGGGGAGGGAGGGCTTTACACAGAGAGAGATGCAGCAAAGGGAACTGCAAAAGAGTTTGGAAAACCAACCATAACGTTCAGCATTAGTGTGAATAATGAAGGCGGAGGAACGAAGGCATGGAATCCAGGTAGTAGAGTGAAAGGTTGTTTATTGTAAATTATGTACTAGTCAAAGTAATTAGCTGCATTCATTCTAGTATAAATTGAGTAACATTGCTCCAGGTAACACTGTTCAGTAACAATCAAGAGAAAACTGGGTTTAGGAAGAAAGTTTTACTGAACAGTTACAATGCCTGCTTGAAGTTAATGGCAAGAGCCGCAAATCCTGTTCAACATTATGTACGCTGGAGTCCCAGCAATGTCTCTGGGACTTCAGCCTATGCTACTGTGAGCAACAAAGATTGCAGCCCTAATGAATCAAGCCTTAGGGCAGTTAATCAAAGGAAGGAAAGGAAATTATACAATGTGAAAGAAACCTTTCAAGTGTGACAAGAAGGCAGCTTGGTTGGAATTTTAATTCAGGAACACCGAGGATGTCAGTAGGGTGCAAAAGATAGGGCAGCCCCTTTGCTTTAGTTTTCTTTTGCAAATAGTGCACAGAATGTACTGTCAGATCTTCTCAGTCCTTCTTCAGCAGTTCAGGTACAGGAGAATTTGGAGGTGAGGGAGTTCTCTGCTTAGTTCAAAATGTATCTTTTGGCTTCTAACCCTCCTCATTCTTTACCTACGGATTGTTTAGTGAATATGACAAATAGTTCAAAAATAATGAGATAGCTCCACTAGACAAAACCTTAAACTTTTTGGTCTGGGGGTGGAGGAGGTCAGTACTGCTCTCCTGTGAAACTTGACAGCCAGTGTAGCATAGTGAACAGAGGGCCAGATCAATACAATCTGCCTTAAAAATTCCAGTTAGCTAGGAGGGTTTTAAAAAAATTATTTATTTAGCCCAGCCTACCTCTCAGGCTGTTGTGAGGATAAACTGCATTTAAATGGAACTGAAGTTTGGTACACCCCTTGTGGGGAGGGGAAGGGAAAGGAGTTTGTAAGTCGTTCTGAGACACCTTTGGGTAGTGAAGGGCAGGGTATCAATCCAATCTCCTCCTCTTCTCTTCTAAAAATTCCAGTTAGCTAGGAGGCTTTTAAAATTTTTTATTTATTTAGCCCAACCTACCTCTCAGGCTGTTGTGAGGATAAAATGCATACTGATTTAATTGGAACTGAAGTTTGGTACACCCCTTGATGTGTGAACCTTCTCCATTGGCAAGAACTGTGTCTGAGGCAACAATCAAGCAGAGGACGTGCCTATGGAAATAAAGACTAACTTTCCATCTGGGCCCTAATCAGAGGAACTCTTGGCAGCAGCAGACATCTTCCCTATTCCTGCCCCCCAAACAAGTGATTGTGGCTAGAACTGAGAACGCCAGCAATCCCCCATGCCAGAGTTGTCAACAGTTACCAGGTAGGCACTTGGATGCATGTGCATTGTGGAAGACAATTCCAGTGTGCATAATTCTGAGTCTTGGATGGAGATTTTCCTGGTGTAGAACATATTTTTGAGTACACAGGTCCAGATACAGGAGGAAGGCAAGCCAAACATAGAATCTGTTCCCAGGCTCAGGTTTGTTGAATCAGAGCCACCATATTTAGGATGGGAGGATTAAGTCTCAATTTTGTGTTAAAAAGGTAAAGGTTCCCTTGCTCGAAAGCCAGTCGAGTCCGACTCTAGGGTTGCGGTGCTCATCTCCGTTTCAAAGCCGAAGAGCCAGCACTGTCCGAAGACGTTTCCGTGGTCCTGTGGCCGGCATGACTAAACATCAAGGCGCACGGAACGCTGTTCCCTTCCCACCAAAGTGGTACCTATTTATCTACTTGCAATTTCTTGCTTTCGAACGGCTAGGTTGGCAGGAACTGGAACTAGAGATGGGAGCTCACTCCGTCATGCGGCAACTCGGGTCTCCAACTGCTGAACTACTGACCTTCCACAGCCTGCAGTTCAGCATCTTAACCACTTGAGCCACCGCAGCTCCCAATTTTGTGTTAGGCTAATGGAAATATTCTATTTTCTCTGGCTTAGTTGCTACGTGCAAGCAAACCAGTGGCTTTTTCCTACACTGGACTGCTGTCCATGAGCAGCCGAACACATGAATCAGCCTGCAGAAATGTGAGGTGATGTAGTTGCTATCTTGTGGGTGATGTTCCATTCACATAAACAAATCAGGGAGTGACATGCACATGCAAGCCAGCCGATAGTCTTCACAGTTGCCCAACGTTTATAATCAGTAAGTACACCAGAAATGGCAGAAACATCCTAGTCAGGTTTACTGAAGGAAAACTGAAAGGGGGTGCGTGTTAAAAGCCTCAAGAGACCCATCCCTAATCCGAAACTGTTCCCCCTAAGCTGAGTTAGTGTGAGCTCACAGTTCTTTAGCCTCCAGCTCACACGTTTTTCTCTTAATTCAGGAAGGATGGCTCCAGTGTTCCCTCTAAGCTGAGTTAGTGTGAGCTAGCTCACAGCTTTTTAGCTTCCAGCTCAGAGATGTTTGCCTTCGCTCAGGAAGGAGGGCTCCAGAGCAGACTGATTTATGCAGTAGCCAGATCACTCGCTCACAACTTTCATGCCACTAGCTCAGGAAGTAGAATCTTTGCTCACAGGACTCTACAGCTTCGAAGGAGGACTGAAATACCACAACTGGCAAGCAGTGTTCCCTCTAAACTGAGCTAGTGTGAGGTCGCACACAGTTTTTTAGCCTCCGGCTCACCCATTTCTGTCTTAGCTCAGGAAGGAGGGCTCCAGAGCAAACTCATTTATGCAGCAGCCAAACTGCTCGCTCACAACTTCCATGCCAATAAGATTTTTGCTCCCCCCCCCCGACTCCACAGCTTACAGGGGGCATTGTCGGCAAGTAGTCTTGCAGAGTAGCGCAGGACACCTCCAAGTAAATATGGAGGGGGGGTTGTTTTAAAGGGGCATCCACACCAAACCTTTGGGAGCAAGAACCGATGCTCATGCTGTGATAGATAGCGCAGGCACACTCCCTACCAATGTTCCCTCTAAGCTGTGAAGTCTCGTGAGCAAAAATTCTACTTTGTGTTCTACTGGCACTAAAACTGTGAGCCAGCGATCTGGCTGCTGCATAAATTCGTTTGCTCTGGAGCAGTGTTCCCTCTAAGCTGAGTTAGTGTGAGCTAGCTCACCCTTTTTTAGCCTCCGGCGCACACATTTTTGTCTTTGCTCAGGAAGGGATGGCTCCAGCGCAAACTGATTTATGCAGGTGCAAAATGACTCGCTCACAACTTTAAGGCCAGTAGCTCGCAAAGTAGAATTTTTGCTCACAGGACTCCGCAGCTTAGAGGGAACATTGCTCTGGAGCCATCCCTTCCTGAGCTAAGGCAAAAACGTGTGAGCCGGAGGCTAAAAAACTGTGAGCCGGCTCACACTAAACTCAGCTTAGAGGGAGCACTGCTCCCTACCACAAGCCTGTTTGGAGGCGGCCT